TACACCCTGTGTGAACTGTGCCTGTCCCACCCATTCAAATGCCAGCCCCCACCCTAGCCCGAGGGCTGTCCTGGCAATGGCAGGGTTGGCCACTGGCCAGGGGCTGGTAGAGAACCTCTGTCGAGGGAGCGATCCATCAACGGCCATCTCTCCCCATCATCAGGGATGCTTGCCATGGTCCTGTCTGTCTCCTGGGCAGAGAGGGGTGTTGCCTGCTCTGTTCCTTCACTGGCTGCACACAGTAGGTGCTTTGTCACTCTCTGAGAAATAAAACAAGCAGAGTCGATCCCTGTCTACCCTCCACAGGGACCCTGAGGCATCTCAACCTGCAGTTGATGCACCAACGTGCTCCCCATTCTGTAGATTCTCATCTTCCCACTGAGGTGCTTCTCAGGACTGGTGGCTGCAGCTACCCCAGCCCCATATGCAGCTGGGCACAAAGGACTGAGGTGTGTGGCTGATATGAGAGGAGGAGGCTCACCTGCCTCTGTCTTGGGCCCTGCATCATCATGGGTGGGGATTGATACTGGCAGGGCCCGGCTCTCCTCCCCAGGGCACCTGTGACCCTGTCCTTAACTCTATGATTCCTTCCCTCCTGCAGGGGGAGCCCCAGACCTCAGCCCTCCAGTGGGAATGACAAGGTGTGTGGGGCCAGGGTACTGACAGGACCTTCCCTAATGACCCTGAGTCCACTTACATTTCCAGCTGCTCATGGTGTCGGAGTGAGCAGGACTGAAGCCATGTTGGGACCTGAAACCACCTGGGCTGCAAGAGGCAGGAGATTTTTTTTTTTTTTAAGATGATTGGTAAGGGGATCTTAACCCTTGACTTGGTGTTATCAGCACCACACTCTCCCAAGTGAGCCACGGGCCATCCCATGGGGCAGGAGATTTTTTAAAGGACAGTTTTTTTTTTTTTTCTTTCTCTCTCCACTCTTTCTTCCCATCCCCTGACTTTCTTATCTTGCTTGGTAAAGAGGAGAACAAGGCTGAGAAGCTAATCAGTACTTTGCAAAGCTAATAGTTCTTTCATTGACACTTGTAGAGTTTTAAGAAATGATCAAGGCCAAATGACTAGAAGTTGACCTTGGGCTCTATGAAGTGAAACTATGCAAAAGACTGCAGAAAAGACGATTCTACACTGGAGCAAATCAAAATCTTTCAGGGTCCTGAGATAAAAGTGAAGGTGAGAACAGAAACCAGAAGAAGACTTGGTGAGACCTCCTGACTCATAGACACAGACCCTCATAGCTCAGGTATCCTACGCTCCTGCTTCCCACCTCTCATGTTCTGTTCCCTCAACTGCTCCTATAGTAAACCCTGAGTAAAGCTAAATCTTTGAGAGGGGATAGCCTACCATGTCCTTCAGCTGAATACATCTGCTTTTCCAACACCAACCATTTGATTTCTGAGTTTTTATCCTCCTCAAGAGAGCGGGCAGCTGGACCTGAGCTCCATCACACTGAGGTCTGCCATCCCCATCACAACAGGGGATACTGCATGCACATCCATGCACATTCAGGAGGCAGCACATCTGTGCTCTGGACACAACCTGCTATGACCCCTACTGGGACTGTCTGACTCCCTACTCAAGTGAGAGCCAAGGAGGACAGGAATTTGGTCTGTTCTGTTTGATGGATTATGCTAAGTGCCTACAAAAGTGACTGTATATGGCAGGCACTTCATATAGTTTTGTTGAATAAATAAACCCCAACCAGCACCTCCCAAGATACCTGAGTGGATCTGGGCCCCTCTGCCTGCCCCCGGGACCTCCAGATGGAATCCCAAACCTCTCTTACAAATGTAAAACCCGTGCTAACCAAATCCATCGGCCAGTGAGAGCTGAGGCAGGGGCTGCTTCATGGGAGAGGGAAATAGTTAACATGATCAATCTTCCAGCCTTTTCTGCAGGGGTAGACACTAGGTAGGTACTTTCCACGGCTCATTCCATCTGGACCCTGCAATGACCCTCTTGGTCTGGTCCTTTTGGTACCCACTTTTCAGAGGTGCAATCAGCCCAGGTGTGGTGACATTCTTAAACCACAGCTAGTTGGAGCTGGTCACCTCTGTGCCATAGAAGAGTGGTGCTCACACTCCCAGCAGCAGGTCCAGCACCCACTGGGTGGAGGTGAGGGCTCATCAGGAGCACAGGGAGGTGGGGGTTTCAGAGGAGTCACTGCCCATGTGGCTGCACTTGGTGCTCCAGCAGCTTCTCCAGCGTGTCTGTCTGGACCATCCCCACACAGCAGGCCTCCCCTCTCTGGGGTGGGACAAGGTGAGGTTACACAAGTCAGGGCAGCTTCAATGCCCAACCTCCTCTTTGGGAACAGAGTCACTGACCCCACGTTATAGAGGGCACCGAGACTACAAGATGTCTTGACCTGAGCTGACTTGTCACAGGGCTGAGACATGGCCAGCTGTGAGCTGTAACTGTAATAGAACCACACTTGCGTCACTTCACATGATGTGCAGCTACAGCCAGCACACTGGCATGAGTTGCAGCGATGGAAATTAAGCTTTAATTACAAGACCAAGTAATGGAGTCCATGTGGCTGAAGCTCAGAAACATCCTGATCTCTGAGAACGCTTACAGGCAGGGAGTTTTAAAGAAAGTGTTGGGGGTTGGGGAAGGAGCTGTGTGAGTCGCCAGTTGACTGTTCTGAGTCATTGCATCTCTGAGCACAAAGAAATAGGATCTCTGTGAATAAAGACACACTTTTTGGTTTCTTCCATTACTTACCAGAATGGTATCAGTCTGTGTTCTTGACAGTTCACCTCCTCAGCACATTCAGAGGGCTGGGAAAGTTCTGGATTTTTTCTTGTAAAGACATCTCAAGGATGTGTATTAAGACAATGTCTCCTGTCCCTGGAACTTAGTGACTCTGTTTTATGGTCCTTTTCATCCCATCCTGCCCAGCTGTCTTCTTTATACTGCCTTACTCAATTGTTAGTTATAAATCCTAACTCCTTAATTAGAGAGTCTGTTCTCAGATTCTAAGTCATATCAGCTTGAGGGACCAAGGCCACAGCTCACTTTCATTAAACTTTTGGGAGGGATTCACCCAAATGAGGTGTCCACTCATTTTTAGAACGCAGGATAACTTGACCACAGGCTTTGTTCAATAATTGTTCAACAATGACAAAAATGAAAATGGTAATAATTACAACAGTGACAATTTTAACAATGGCAGTGACCATGTTGGTGATAATAACAGAAATAAAAGTTAACCCAAGGAGGTGGCAGAGGAGTACAGTCCTCCCCGAGTGAATGAGCAGGTGTTCATGTCGGGACCTGGGGTGCTCTGGAGTCAGAGCAGAAGGAATGCAGTGTGACCAGGTTCTGTGAAGGTGAAGGACAGAAGGTAGGTGGGAAAGAACGCAGAAGAGGAGGACAGGGGCCAACAGGAGACTCGTGTGTGGAAAACACCAGGTGAGCCTTGGGAAAGGAGGAAACTGATGCAACCTCCAGAGCCCAATACCACCTCGGTAGAGTGAGGGTTAGGGTTGGTGTTGATGAGGTTTGGGATCAGCTTGAATTAGGGATAGGGTTGGAGATAGGATTAGGGAGTGGGGTTAGGATTAGAGGTTAGGGTTGGTTTTAGGGAGTAGGGTTAGGATTAGTGATTTTGGGTTATGTAGGTTGGGTTAAGTGCTAGGGATAGTGTCAGTGGTTAAGGATAAGCTTGCTGTTCGGGTTAGATTTAGAGGTTAGGGTTAAGGCATATTATTAAAGCTCAAGGTTTAGATTTAGGGTTAGTGTAAGGTTAGGGTTAGGTTTCAGTTTTAGGGAAAGAATTGGGTTTAGGGGTTAGAGCTGGAATTGGAGGTAAGTGGTAGGGTTTAGGGATAGGTAATGTGTATCACATGTTAGGAGTTAAGTATTATGGCAATAGGCTGTGTTTATGGCTTAGGACTTAGGCTCAGTGGATAGAGTTGAGGATTATGGTGTGTTAGGGAAAAGGTTGGGGTTAAATATTAGGTGTTAGAGGTTAGGGTTAAGGATTAATATACAAGTCTGGCTAGTTAGCTTAGTTAGTTATAGCATTTTGCTGATAACACAGAGGTCCAGGGTTTGATCCTCGTACTGGCCCGCTGACAAGAAAAAAAGAAAAAAAGAATTAGGTGCAAGGCCAATTGGAAGTTGGTATTGTCCCAATCACCAATGACAGTGGCCAAAATGAGAAATTTATGGATGAGAGAAAGTTGTGTAGGGCAGAATTGGTGACTATACATATGTGGGCAGTGAAGATAAAGGAGATGTTGGAGATAAAATCTGGCCATCTGGTTCCACTGAGTGATTACATGTTGGTCCTGCTGGCTAAAGAGGTGGATACTGACAAGGTCATATTCAGATAAAGACCTTGAAGGCCATTTTAGTCACACTGAGGTCCAGGTGCCTTCACAACACAGAAGACAGACAAATTACTTTATTGGATGAAAACAAACATTTTCTAGTGGCTTGGAGGAAACTAGATGCAGGATCTTTTCATACTCTAAAATACATCGGCAAAAATAAACATGGGTTCTATAATCGCAACACCTATATGACAAATTGAAAAAGTAAAATTACTTATTAATGTCATGCTGTAATTGGCCCACATCCGAATTTCCCCCATTATTCTCACAATGCCCCAGGTTACCAAACCAGTACTTAATAAAGAATCAGAATTCCCCCTCATAATAATGTAGATAGAGACCAGTCTTGATCCATCAGGTCCTCATCTCCTGGTAGCAAGAAACACTGCTGAGAAAATAAACAAAATTTTCTCCTTTGGTCCCTAAAGGATGATGGCAGAGACTTGTTAGAAATGTAGTCTCACCCTCCAATAACATCACCAGCACAGGCGTAGCAAACAGCTATTCCAGGTTCTTTCTATGCATGTGCTGCTCCGCTCTGTCATCTGGGAAATGTAGTTTCACCCTGCAATGAGGTCACCAGCGCAGGACTGTGGGAAGGGCTTTTCCGGGTATCTTCTGCGCATGTGCAGCTCCGCCCACACCGCCATATTATTGTCTGGAAATTCTGGGTTCCACAGAAGCCCCATCGCTGCTCCTCAGATATTGTGCGTCCCGGAAGGTGGGTGCGAGGGTG